CATGAGCACAAAGTATTCTGGGAGATTTTAACTAATTCAGTGCTCTAACACCCCCATTTTTAGAATACAGATAATGATTTAAAGCAGATAGCAACTGAGCTGAACTGCATGTGGCATAGCCAGCTCCAGAAAGGAAGGCAAGATGGCTGCTTCTCCCCAACATCATCTCCCAAGAGTGACTGGAACATGGCAAAGTCAGCACTGCAGGGAAGATTGCAGGTCTTCACCTACACGCATGGCAGTGCAGCCATTTCAGACTCATATTTCTCTTGTATTATTTTATTCCCTCCAGGAATGATGACACAACAGTGACAGAAAGTCCCATCTCATCATCACCCTCTGACAGAGAGGCATGGCCACGGATTTCCCCACTTGAGGAATGGGGAGAAAATGGCCCGGTGCTGCTGCTCAGTTTGATCTGTGGATGTTGCTGGGACTGGTTTCTCTCCCTCTCTATTTAGGATTCTCTCTCCTGAAACAGTGCTCCCTGGCTGTCTGTTCCCCATGCAGGATCCCATCTCTGTCCCTGCCCCATGACCGCTGGAGGTTTTATACCCATGTCATGCTCTGGGCTGGGACTGCAACTCCACAAGTTGTTTATAGAAAACACTGACAACAAGCAGCAAACCTGAGTGCCAGCCGGCAAAGTGGAGCAAAGTTGCCCACAGATTTTCCTGCACTCCTTGCCACTTGGTGTCAAGGCTGAGCTCCAGGTACATCTCAGTGTTAGGCGTAATCTATACTAGAGGTGCTACAGCTCCCGCTAATGTTCAAGACACCAAGCTAACATTCAAGATGCTCTAGTCTAAGCCATGGGAGAGAGCTCGCCTGTCAGCGTAACACCTCAACCTCTATGAGAAGCGAAAGCTCTCCCGCCAACATCGCTCGGTCTACACCAGCGCTTAGGTTGGTATATTTTACATCTCTCAGGGATGTAGATTAGTGTTCTGGTAAGTGATAAATTCTAGTGTAGACAAGCCCTGGGTGGTATTAAAGTGCCATTTACTTGTCCAGGGACACAGATTTGAATTATTATTTTTTTTTAAAAAGGCATTTTAACAGGAAGCAACTGACATCTCTCATCCTTGCTGTGATAAATGAAGGGGTTGCGGAGTAGCTCTCTTTGATGGACACCCAGCCAGCCAGTTAGCTATAAAGTCCCTCTTGGTGGCTGTTCTCTGCTTGCTTTACCTGTAAAGGGTTAACAAAGTCCCCCAGGTAAAAGAGAGGGAGAGAAACCAGTCCCAGCAACATCCACAGATCAAACTGACCAAAAGAACCAGTGGGAAGGCTAGAACTTTTTAAAATAGGGAAAAAACTTCCCCTTTGTCTTTGTTGTTGTTCTCTGGGAAAGAGGGGAACAGGGATCAGTTATGCTATGAGAAGCTTTAAGCCAGGTATGATCATCAGATCATACTTAGAACTACTTATTTGGAACCCCCAAATAAAAATAAATAATTAAAAAATTAAATTAATGGAGATATCCCATCTCTTAGAACTGGAAGGGACCTTGAAAGGTCATCAAGTCCAGCCCCCTGCCTTCACTAGCAGGACCAAGTACTGATTTTGCCCCAGATCCCTAAGTGGCCCCCTCAAGGATTGAACTCACAACCCCTGGGTTTAGCAGGCCAATGCTCAAACCACTGAGCTATCCCTCCCCCCCTGTGTAAGCGAATCAGGAATGTTTAGAAAGACACAATTAGGTTTATTTCTGTTTTTCTTATGGCTAGTGGACTCCTCTATGCTAACCGCAGATGCTTTTGTTTGCTTCTAAACTTTAAGCTGAACCCCCCAAAAAGCTATTTTGAGTGCTTAATTTTTGGAATTGCTTTTTTAAAATCTAGCAAAAGCCTAAGTTTCAGATGTATGTTCTTTCTTTTTGTTTTTAATAAAATTTACCTTTTTTTAAGAACAGGATTGGATTTTTGGTGTCCTAAAAGGTTTATGCGTGTGCGTGTGTGTGTGTAAGGGCTTGAGGGTACCCCAGGAAAGGAATTCCTAACTGCGCTTTCCTGGGTTCCCAGGGGTTTGCATTTGGGCAGTGGCAGCATCTACCCATCCAAGGTCAGAGAGAAGCTGTAACCTTGGGAGTTTAATACAAGCCTGGAGTGGCCAGTATTAATTTTTTTAATCCTTGTGGGCCCGCACCTTCTGCACTCGAAGTGCCCGAGTAGGGAATCAGCCTGAACATAAGAACGGCCGTACTGGGTCAGATCAAAGGTCCATCTAGCCCAGTATCCTGTCTACCGACAGTGGCCAATGCCAGGTGCCCCAGAGGGGGTGAACCTAACAGGTAATGATCAAGTGATCTCTCTCCTGCCATCCATCTCCACCCTCTGACAAACAGTCTAGGGACACCATTCCTTACCCATCCTAGCTAATAGCCATTAATGGACTTAACCTCCATTAATTTATCCAGTTCTCTTTTAAATGCTGTTATAGTCCTAGCCTTCACAACCTCCTCAGTTAAGGAGTTCCACAAGTTGACTGTGCACTGTGTGAAGAAGAACTTCCTTTTATTTGTTTTAAACCTGCTGCCTATTAATTTCATTTGGTGACCCCTAGTTCTTGTATTATGGGAATAAGTAAATAACTTTTCCTTATCTACTTTCTCCACATCACTCATGATTTTATATACCTCTATCATATCCTCCCTTTGTCTCCTCTTTTCCAAGCTGAAAAGTCCTAGCCTCCTTAATCTCTCCTCATATGGGACCCGTTCCAAACCCCCTAATCATTTTAGTTGCCCTTCTCTGAACCAGTGGTCTCATCTCAAAAAAGATATACATCTGTACACAGTATTCAAGATGTGGGCGTATCATCGATTTATATAAGGGCAATAATATATTCTCCTTCTTATTCTCTATCCCCTTTTTAATGATTCCTAACATCCTGTTTGCTTTTTTGACCACCTCTGCAGACGGCGTGGACATCTTCAGAGAACTATCCACAATGACTCCAAGATCTTTTTCCTGATTTGTTGTAGCTAAATTAGCCCCCATCATATTGTATGTATAGCTGGGGTTATTTTTTCCAATGTGCATTACTTTACATTTATCCACATTACATTTCATTTGCCATTTTGTTGCCCAATCACTTAGTTTTGTGAGATCTTTTTGAAGTTCTTCACAGTCTGCTTTGGTCTTAACTATCCTGAGCAGTTTAGTATCATCTGCAAACTTTGCCACCTCACTTCTTACCCCTTTCTCCAGATCATTTATGAATAAGTTGAATAGGATTGGTCCTAGGACTGACCGTTGGGGAACACCACTAGTTACCCCTCTCCATTCTGAGAATTTACCATTAATTCCTACCCTTTGTTCCCTGTCTTTTAACCAGTTCTCAATCCAGGAAAGGACCTTCCCTTTTATCCCATGACAGCTTAATTTACGTAAGAGCCTTTGGTGAGGGACCTTGTCAAAGGCTTTCTGGAAATCTAAGTACACTATGTCCACTGGATCCCCCTTGTCCACATGTTTGTTGACCCCTTCAAAGAACTCTAATAGATTAGTAAGACATGATTTTCCTTTACAGAAACCATGTTGACTTTTGCCCAACAATTTATGTTCTTCTATGTGTCTGACAATTTTATTCGTTACTATTGTTTCGACTAATTTGCCCGGTACCGACGTTAGACTTACCGGTCTGTAAATTGCGGGGATCACCTCTAGAGCCCTTTTTAAATATTGGCATTACATTAGCTATCTTCCAGTCATTGGGTACAGAAGCTGATTTAAAGGACAGGTTACAAACCTTAGTTAATAGTTCCGCAACTTCACATTTGAGTTCTTTCAGAACTCTTGGGTGAATGCCATCTGGTCCCGGTGACTTGTTAATGTTAAGTTTATCAATTAATTCCAAAACCTCCTCTAGTAACACTTCAATCTGTGACAGTTCCTCAGATTTGTCACCTACAAAAGCCAGCTCAGGTTTGGGAATCTCCCTAACATCCTCAGCCATGAAGACTGAAGTAAAGAATTCGTTTAGTTTCTCCGCAATGACTTTATCATCTTTAAGTGCTCCTTTATTCTCGATCGAGGGGCCCTATTAGTTGTTTAGCAGGCTTCCTGCTTCTGATGTACTTAAAAAACATTTTGTTATTACCTTTTGAGTTTTTGGCTAGCCGTTCTTCAAACTCCTCTTTGGCTTTTCTTATTACATTTTTACACTTAATTTGGCAGTGTTTATGCTCCTTTCTATTTACCTCATTAGGATTTGACTTCCACTTTTTAAAGCAAGTCTTTTTATCTCTCACTGCTTCTTTTACACGGTTGTTAAGCCACGGTGGCTATTTTTTTAGTTCTTTTACTGCCTTGACACCTGCCCTTGCCTTTTTTTCTGGTGTATGACTTCTGATGGCACAATGAATTAGATGATGAGTAAGTGATGTAGTCACGCTAATCATGACAGCAGCATCCATAGAGGTCAAGCACTTGCATCTACCATCAAGATGATAAAGAAGGTAGTCCATAACCAAATAGCATGCTGTTTGTTCTTGAGCCCCACAGGAACAGGATGTGGAGCTCAAGAAGCCCCAGTGGGTAGAGATGTAAGTTAAAGCACCTGTCACCACAATGTATCCTGTTGTAATGAAGAAGGATCTTTCACTTAATACGGTTATTCTGAGGAAGACGTGAGAGCTGATTCGCAGAGAGTAGGGGATGGAAATCTGACTTGTCTATCCACCAAGAAATGCAGCATCAAACCAAAGTACAGTCCCACACCACCTGTTGGTGCTGTTCCTTAGAAATGTTGTCTCTGATATACTGTCTGACTGGCTCACTATTTCAGAGAAGGGGTGTCTTGACTTTAGCTGTATCATCGTTGTGTGACCCAGAAACTCTGATCTCCAAACCTCTGGTCCTATCTGGTATTGCTTGCCTCGCAATTGAGTGTGAAGACAGGGCCCTGGCTGCATTATGCACGAAGCCAACTATCAAGACAGTTTGATTCATAATTTTCTCTCAAAGCCAAATAAAAAACAACCTTCCTTTTGATTCAGTACTATGAGAGGCACACAGGGGATGTCAAGCCTTTCATTAACTCAGGAGACGAAAGCTCCTTTTCAGTCTCTGCCCATTTTTCCAAACCCCCAAATCCCAGAAGAAATAAAACAATTAATTCCATTTGTGGAGCCTGAGAGGATGGGAGCCACAGTGAGCAAACGGCTTGGGAGAAACCAGGGCCTCCAAAGTGCAGTCCTAACTCCAGTCATCTCTGTCCCACCTGCAGCCCATTATGCCCACTTTGGAATGTTTCAGTACCTCTCGAGGACCATACAAATTATTTTAACAAACCCAGCACCTAAACTCGTGTCTGCTTAGTGAAGAGGTGGGAACATTTCAGAGTGGGAGCAACTTCTCCCTCTTTTACAGACTTTGGGAACAGGATGAAGTGAGAGAAAGAAGAGGTTCCCTCCATCAAACACCAGGGTCAGGAGTCTCTATCCTGAGTGGATGCTCTGGTGTTTAGTAAGATATGATGAGCGAGCAAAGCGCTTCCCACACTGAGCGCAGGAATATGGTCGCTCTCCTGAGTGGGTTCTCTGATGCTGAGTAAGAGATGATGAGCGAGCAAAGTGCTTCCCACACTCAATGCAGGAATATGGTCGTTCTCCTGAATGGATTTTCAGATGTTCAGTGAGAGATGATGAGTGAGCAAAGCACTTCCCACACTGAGTGCAGGGATATGGTCGCTCTCCTGAATGGATTCTCAGGTGGTTGGTGAGGCCTGACAATTGGGTGAAACTTTTCCCGCACTCAGTGCAGCAATAGGGTTTCTCTCCAGTGTGGATTCTCTGGTGGCGAGTGAGATGATGTATATAGACAAAGCCTTTTCCACAATCAGTGCAGCGATGGAGTTTCCCATTGTGGACTCTCTGGTGTTTAGAGAGACTGTCTGGATGACGGAATATTTTCCCACACTCAGCACAGCGATGGAGTCTCCCTGTACTATGGGTTTCCTGGTGTCTCCTGAGACTTTGAAGGAGACTGAATTTTTTCCCACACTCAGCACAGCAATGGGGCTGCTCCCCAGTGTGGATCCTCTGATGTCTGATCAGATGTTCTCGTAGGCAGAACTTTTTCCCACACTCATGACACAAGAAGGGTCTCTCTTCGCTGTGGATTTTCTGGTGCCTAGTAAGATTTGATGTAAGTTTGAAGCCTTTCCCACATTGGTTACAGCGATGGGGTCTCTTTTCTGAGTGGATTCTCTGGTGATTACGAAATGTTGACGAATCCATAAATTGCTTTCCACACTCAGCGCACGCATAGGGTCTCTCTCCCGAGTGGATTCTCTTGTGGATGGTAAAAGCTGACAAGTATAAGAATCTTTTTCCGCACTCAGCACAGTGATAGGGTCTCTCTCCAGTGTGGATTCTCTGGTGGGCAGTGAGCAGTGATAACTGATTGAATATCTTCCCACATTCAGAACAGGGATGGTCTCTCTTCTTTCTGTGAACTTTCCCATGTGCTCTGAACTCCTTCTTTCTCCTAAAGCTCTCCCCACACTCGCTACAGTGATACAGTTCCTGTCCCTTATGAACCATCCAGTGGTGGCTTATCAGTTCTCTCTGCACCTTGAATTCTTCTCTGCACACATGGCAGGTATATAGGCTCTTTCTGGGCTCAGTTTTTCCCTCTGCAGGAGGCTTTAGATATGGCCTGGATCTCCTCTGATGGCCTCTTGAGGTTGCCTGCTCCTTCCTGATCAGATTTTTCCTCTGCCTTTGAGACCTGCCCTGTCTCTTGTGATGTCTTCCCCGTTCAGATTTCTTGGAATGGTTCTTCCCTGATGTCCCTCGGAAAGGTCTGAGTGGCTCCAGGCTACCAGGTCCTTCCTCAGGAGTCTGCCCCTCAGCTCTGTTCAGGTTCCTTGCCTCTGCTTGGTGGGGAAGAGAATCCAGATGTTATTTCTTGTGCTGCTCACAAAGGGAAACCACTAACATTCCCAGCAGGGGGATGTACCTGAGGCAGCCCTATGCCTCTCCCCTCAGACTAGGGCTGGCCATCGGCAGTTGAGTGCAAGAGGCCAAACTCCCAGGGGCCCCAGTGGTAGGGAAGGAGGAGGAGGTCAGTGTCCCATAGGCCCTGATAATAGCCCCCCAAATAAACCTGGAAATCAGCCCCCACAATTCTCTCCCTACTCTGAGGCCCATCTTAGTGAGGAGAACAGCATCACCACACACCAGCATTGATACCCCTCTCTCAAGGGTCACTCACAGGGAACACTAACACTGTGATGGATCCCAACGTCTCCATGTTCTATGGAAAATGGGGGAGGGGGAGAGACTGAGGGAATCTGCATAAGGGGAGAGATGGAGTTTCTAGGGGGATGTCAGGGTGAGGAGCTGTAGCACTTCTCATGTTTGGGCTTCAATCCCTATTGTAATGCTCTGTGAGGGGAGAGTTTGCAGCTGATGGCCGATTCCTGAAATGAGCTCTCCGGCTCCCACTGGTGGAAAGGACAGAGCTGGTTCCCTACCTGCTCCAGGGGAAGAGCTTTGTGTGAGGAAGAAGCCCAAGGAGCTTTCAATTGCTGGCCAGTCCCAGGTCTCCTCTGCATCTGAAAAATCTGCACCGAGACAAAAGGTCTTTGGTTGACAACACATGGACCGAATGAATATCACTGAGAGAAGCCCTTCCCCTTGCACTGTAAATTGCTCATTTATGGTCACTGTTGGACAGTGGTTCCACAATGCACAAGAGGGGAAGCTATTTGGGTCTGGACACTTATTTTGTACTGTTGTAGCACAACTGAGATCACGGTACCATAGCACCAGGTGCTGCACAAAATTACAGAGAGATCGCCCTGATGTTGAAGAGCTTATAAACTAAATACACAAAGGGTGGGGGAGAGCCTGAGTCAAAGGAGTAACTTGCTGTTGTAATAACTGGGCCCACAAATTTACCCTAATTGGCCGTATAACTGTAAAAACTGTGAGAAAGTTTATAAAGTGTTACAATATCCTACAACAATAAATGTTGATGGGAAAAGGTGCAAAATATAAAAAGGACGACAGAATTGGTCCAAATATAAAAGGCCTATAATGCAATTCAAGGACAGTGTTAAAATGATGGCTGTAAGCAAGAGAAGTGTGGAACTGGACATTAAAGAACCGAAATGACTGAGTTTAATTTAGGCCTAACTAGCAGAAAAACAATGAGGGGCTGGGCTATTTTGCCCACTACTTCCTTTAAGGGTTTCTCAAAAGAAAACATTTTCGGGGGACAATAAAGGAGAGGAACTGAATGCAACCCTTGCTGACTGAAAAAAACAGCAATAGCAGGTGTGTGCCAACAGCTGCTGCAGTGAGCGATACCATCATGCTGCCACCCTGATCCTGATTTTGGGACCCCAGATCATCTTTGTACTAATACTAAGAGACGTCTAAACAAGACTGGACCAGAGACAGGGAGCCAGAGGATATTGCCACCATTATCAGTTCTGGCTAACACCCCAAAATCACCTGGAATGTGAGATTTTTGTCCCCCTGTCTCTCTCAACTCCCATGAGTTCTTTTCATTCCCCACCATATTTCTTTTCTTTCTTATTCTTCTCCCTTTGCCTTCTGGTAAATAAGAGTCTGCCTTAGCCTGCGAAAACTGCCATAGTTTGCAACATTGCTGTAAGCCTGTGATCAAAGAGGCAGCCAAACGAATTGTCCAGAACAGACCAACGCTGGACAGGTTTGCCAGGCAGGTCTCCAATTGGCCGATCAGACCGTGTGCCGTGCCTGTGTTTCTCCAGCCGTGAAGCAGCAAGTAAGAGTAAACCCGAGATATAAGCTGTAAGTTCTATTTTCCTCTTTTTTTCTCTTCCCTGTTGAGTGGGTTTGTGTTTTTTTGTCTCCTAGGAAACGGGATCGGATTTTAATAATATCAAAAACAGCGCCAACAGCTTCAACATTTCAAAGGGACAGTTATTACTGTGTTTAATACCATCTAAAAGACTTTCAAACAGAGGCCTTTTGTCTAAAGGCTCTCTGCAGCTAAAGGGAAAGGCAACAAGGGACACTGTCAAAATAAAAGTCTTACATCATCCCTGACATTTCAAATGCCTTAACTCTTTTACCCTCTTTTTCTGTATCTTTAATAAAAGATTAGAAAGAATTTTTCATGGTGTTTCCCATGGTCCTACGCAGGCTACTCTCTCTATATTCCAAACCCCAAACCTTATTTAACATTCTTTAATGTTGCTCATGACAGTGTCATGTTAACACCTTTGTCTCTCTGGGCCCATGTATTCTATATGAATTAATACAACATTGTCCAAGGTCTGCCAGCAGGTCAGTGGCAGAATGAGGAATAGAGTTCAGGTCTCCTCACTCCCACAACACAATGTTGTCTCCCAACCAATCCTGGCGCATAATAAGGAAATCCCTTATTAATGTCAACTGAGAACCCAAAAAAGTGATGGAACAATGCTGAGTACCTACAATATTGGGCCTGAACTTGGAAGGGAGATACACAAGTGCTGTTCGGACAATGATTCAGACAGCCGGGGAAGAGTTACAAACACTTTGATAGACGGAATTAGAATTCTAAAGGATGTTGACAAACTGGAGAACTGGTCTGAAATCAACAAGGTGACATTCAAGAAACACAAGTACGAAATAGTTCACTTAGGAAGGAAAAATGAAATGCACAACTAGAAAATAGGGAATAACTGACTTGGCAGCAGTACAGGAGAAAAGAATGTGGTGTTTATAGTGGATCACGAATTGAATGGTAGCCGACAATATGATACTGTTCTAAAATAGCCTAATATTAGACTAAAAGACTAACATTCTGGGATGTATTGTCACTTTGGCCAAAACATATCAGGATTCCAGCTGCCATCAGCTACTCCTTCAATCCCTCCACATCACTTTAACTCCTTCCTCACCTGGGTGGGTTCCTCTAAGAATGTCCCCATCTTCATCTTCTGTGGGACCCCGCACACACAGATCTTCCCCTCGCTCTATGCTGAAGATCACCACTGGCTTGGGAGTTTTGATTCCTGCTTAGAGAAAAGCATCACTGCTAAGCATTTCTAGGCACAAAAGTGCTGCACTTTCCACAGGTGCACATGCAATGTTTGTGCCAATTAGGCAATGAAGTTAATAGGCAATTGTTTTCCATGGAAACATGAAAAGACGGTTACTCACCGCTGTTACTGTTGTTCT